GTGAATTCTCAAGGGAAAAGGAGACAACCATTTATTTGAGATGTACCAGGTGCTGAACACTGTACTGAATGCCCTGTGTACGTTATCTCACTTAAAAATCACAAGTCTTTGAAAGAGTTGATTGCAATCCTTATTTTATAAATGGGAAAGCTCAGGGTCAGAGAATTTCAATAATTTTATCACACTTGTGCTAATGATAAGTAGCAGATCTGGGATCTGACACAAGATTATTTTGATTCTACTGTACCACGGTCATTTCAATGAGAATATTATTTATTTCCACTTCTTTCTGAGGCTTTGGTTTTCTTTGTGTTTTATTAAGATGACTAAATTCATTACAAACGACATTAAATTATAGTTGGGAAGAATCAAGGAATAAATAAATTGAGAAGCTAATTACTTAAAAGCAAACAATTTCTAAAAGAAGGAGCTAGCCTGCAAGCACTAAGAGGCTGAAATTCCTGCAGTCATTGGGTGGCCTTGGTGCCTGTTGCCAGTTGTCTGGGAGAACCTGTCAAACCATTGTCCTTGTTGTTAAAAAAAAAAAATATGAAACAGTCTTCAGATACTCCAATAATGAGAAGAAAAAAATAGGAAATATGACTGAGGCATTTCTTTCCCTCCTTTTGCACAATATATTCTACTTGTAATACTGTTGTTAGTTTTCCCTTCATTCCAAGCATCCATCATCAGCCAACATTTTCTCTGGTGCCATCACCTGGCCTCTGAGAGCCACAGTTAGACTGTAAGCATAATGAGAGAAGCGGAGGGATGTCTGGCCCATCAGTGCTCTTCTCAGGGTTGAACATGTGCCTTCAGAATGTTCATGATGGCAGCTCCCAGGTTGCTTGACCACAGGAAGGCATGCGAGGAAAAGTGAGTTTTGTTTCTCACCCAGAATATTGAAATGCTAAATAGATTTCAGAGGGCCAGGATTTACAGACCTTGTGGTTTTTGACCATGGCCTTCACTTTGACAGCTTTATTTTCAAGAATATTTTCACTGGAGTGCTGGTGTTAATTGGTAATTTCTGAAGCTACATTTGGACTTCTTGTCAGAAAAGAGGAAATCACATCAAATGCAGTGTTCGTGACACTTGTTAATGGAACTGAAAGGGTGTGTGAGATTCCTGTAGGTGGAATTTTGGTTGGGGTTTGGGGTAAAGAGGGGAGTATCTTTTTTCATATTTTTGCCCAAACTTTACTCTTTATTTAGCTTAACTGCACTGTGTGAATCAGTAATCATCTTAATCATCTTTCTAGCAGGGGTTTCAAACAAATGAAACTATTATTTAGTTTCTAGCTTCCTGCACTGTCATCATGCCTTTATATTCACAGCCAAACCTTCCTCTCGCTGGTATTTCTAGTGACTTCCATGCTTTATTGTTGGTATTGTAGCTTATCTGTTGTTATCTTTGTTCTCTATAGTGTTGTCATCAATAAATGTTTATTGAGCATACCTACTACCTGCCAGGCTTTGGGGATACAGAGAATTGCTTGCATTTGTTAGATTTTTAAAAATTTACAGAGGGCTTCCACATATACTTTGTCATCTAATTATAATAACATTCTACCCAGTTAGGTCTCTGTTTGTTCCCTCGTTCATTCCCCAAATGTGTGCTCGTATAATCACTTTCCAGAAAGTTGCATTCCAGGTGGGAAAAGTTACCTAAGCATTAGGAAACACTTAACAATAATGGAAGTGGCTTATGTTAAAGTTTCCACAGGTTATTTTGTATGTAGTCACTGTTATGGGAATTGTGAACTTTGGAGAGGGGCATTTGATGGTTTGAGGATAGATGTGGGACCTAAAGGAATGGC